TTTAAATGCAAGTCAAAAGTTTAATATTTCAACTTTTCAGTTTGATTTGTCCATAAATTAGTTTCTTAAGTAATTATATAACTTCTTTAAATACAAGTTGAAAGTTTGATTTTTTATTTTTGTAGTTTGATATGCTCATAAATTAGTTTTATTTACTACTTATATAACTACTTTAGATACAAGTTGAGATTTTGATTTAAATGCAAGTCAAAAGTTTAATCCTTTAACCTTCAAATTTGATTTGTCCAAAATTTGTTTAGTAATTATATAATTTTTTGAAATAAAAGTTAAAATTTCATTGATCAAATAACATTATCTTAATTATTAAAGTTTACATAATTAATGAAATTGATATGCAAAATACACATCGAATTATTCAATTAGACTATTTAAAGTTCCTGTTAAATACACATTTACTATCCTAAATATACTTCTTATATTAATTAATTAAAATGAACAATTGGGATTAGAAAAAATCATCTAAATTTTCACATAACATTAACAAAATTAAATTTTCTAAACTTTTTTTTTAGTAACTAAACTATTCATATAATAATAGCTACGTCAGAGTTTTTTTCTTTAGTAAACTGGATTTCGTTCGTGCCTTTCATCTATTTTTATATAAATTTACCTATAAAGTATTTTTTTATCTCTTCTACGTCCATCCGCGCACACTTCTTTTTTTTTGTGTCACTCTTCTTGTTGTTGATTCGATATTGATTTTGCATTAGGACCTTCGCATGGGCACGTACCTTTCACGCTGGACATAAATCATTTCCTACTTTATTCAACGGTTCGACGCGTGAATGGGACAAATTCTTGACGCGATACGAAAATTTGATTTTTCTCTTTTCGATGCGTGTTCAATTTTGTTTTATTTTTTATCAAATGTCATAGATGCGACAGCTCGGACTCGTAACAGGACGGATGACAGACAGATTTTGGGGCGGATGGTGGTGATAAACATGTTGGGAAGATGTTTTGCGAACAATGCACGTGCATGTGTGGCTCTTCCGATTGAGCTGAGTACAAGGATTAATTGGATTTTGGGATAACTGGAAGCGCTTTGCGATTATAGTTGCAAAGCCCTCGTGGCTTTAAACAAGAAACTGCTAACAAATTAGTTTGGGAATCTTTGCCAGTTCGTATGGAATGAATTGCTTTCATACAAACGTAATGAAGTCAAAACAGAAAGTTCGATCTTTGAGTTTATGGTCTTCAGAAGATATTCCTGTTTAGTAATCATATTACTTCTAAAATTGATCTTAAAACTTTTTGGTTTTATTTTTTCATTAATTATTTAACTTAGTATTTATATTACTTTTAATGAAAGTTGAAAGGTTAATTCTTCAACTTTCAAATTTGATTTGTTTATAAATTAGTGTATTTAGTAATCATATAACTTCTTTAAATATAAGTTGAAAGTTTTATTATGTAATTATATTACTTGTTTAAATGCAAGTAAAAATTTTAATCCTTTAATTTTCAAATTTCATTTGACCAGAAATTTGTTTATTTAGTAAATATATAATTTTTTGAAATACAAGTTAAAAGTTTATTTTTTTAACTTTACAGTTTGATTTGTCCATGGACAAATTAGTTTCTTTAGTAATTATATAACTTTTTTAGATACAAGTTGAAAGTTTGATTTTTCAATTTTTTAGTTTAATATGCTCATAAATTAGTTTATTTAGTAATTATATTATTTGTTTAAATGCAAGTAAAAAGTTTAATCCTTTAACTTTCAAATTTGATTTGTCCAGAAATTTATTTATTTAGAAATCATATAATTTATTGATATAAAAGTTAAAAGTTTGATTTTTCAATTTTCTAGTTTGATATGCTCATAAATTAGTTCTATTTAGTAATTATATAACTTCTTTAGATACAAGTTGAAAATATGATGTAAATGCAAGTCAAAAGTTTATTATTTCAACTTTATAGTTTGATTTGTCCATAAATTAGTTTCTTTAGTAATTATATAACTTTTTAAATACAAGTCGAAAGTTTGATTTTTTCAATTTTTTAGTTTGATATGATCATAAATTAGTTTATTTAGTAATTTTATAAGTTCTTTAAACGCAAGTAAAAAAAAATAGTCTTTCAACTTTACAGTTTGTTTTGTTCATAAATTAATTTATTTAATAATTATATAACTTTTTTTTAAATAGTAACACAAAGTTTAATCGTTCAATTTTTAACATTGATTTGTCTATAAATTAGATTATTCCGTAATTATATAACTTTTTTTAATAGAATCATCCAACTTTCTACTTTGATATATCTATAAATTAGTTTATTTAATAACTATATAACTTCTTTAAATACAAGTCAAAACTTTAATTTTTCAACTTTCCAGTTTGATTTGTCTATAAATAATTTTTTGTTATAATTATATAACTTCTTCAATTCAAAAGTAAAAAGTTTAAAAGAATCAAATTTTGATATGTTTATTTCATCTAGTAATTAACTAACTTTTTTAATTGCAATTTTATAAGCTCATGCATATAAATCTCTGAAACTGTCGTGAAAGATGTGAAAAATCCGAAAAAAAAACAGTTTTCTTCCTTATTTTTTCTTTTCTTCTTAATTTGTTCCAATTAAAGTTTGCGAGCTGCTGCTGCTGATGTTGCTATATGGGATTATTCGTAATTTACATCACAGTTTTAAATCTAATTAAATTCGCATTGCATCTCATTAATCATTTGCAGCCGATGTTAATCCCATTACGCCGCATCTTCAATTAAACTTACGTAACGTTAATAATTGCGCGAAACATCAAAAGCGCAAGATCGTGCCGCGTTCTCCTGTTGTTGAACAGCTCAACTAACGACGACGAAGAAGAGACTATGTGGTGGTAGTGGAAGAGGAGGAGTAATTAAGAGCATGGCACCAGGCCAAAAATTGACACAACGATGACAGCATTACGACACGAGGAGCATCCTCGATTTTACTCTATTACAACTTGGAAGTGCCTCGGCTTTTGATCATCTCTGTTAGTGCTGTTATATTCTGATATATTTATGGTTGTGGCTTTGCCAAAAACAATACGAAAAAGACGATTAGTTCTTTGTTGTCTCACGAGATGGCGCTGCAATCGAATACGGTTTATTTCCAAAACTAATTGAAAGTATTCTTCGGAAATCAATCTAATTATTAATTAACAATTGAAGTGTTAAGTTTGAATGGGTTTAGGGTATGTTAGTTTTCAATTTTTGTTTCTTGAGTATAAGAAAACCGCTAAGTGTAGGGAATTTGATTATGTAAAGATAAGGGAACTGAGATTACCTTGATTCACTTTTTCTTTTAAATTACCTACGAAAGTGAAAATGAAGGAGTAAAGAAAGAAGAGCGTTAATGAAAGTTGCTTACCGAGTTAAGTTCTTTTAATGGATGTTTATTTTTAGATTGCCGCAACGGCAATCTCTTGAACCGCTCCTCCACTCGTGTCTCCTGTCTTCCTTAACGCATCTCTCCTAAAACCATCCTCCATTTACGTAATACGTCGTGCCAATAAATTAGGGCCTTTTGAACTTCGCCACACTTTCAACCCACATCCGCATCACCTTTCTTCTTTTTTCTTCCTCAACACTTGCATCATCTTCTCAATGAATCTTCCTTGAACCTTCTTTACGTAATTTCTTCATCCGACCTGAAAATAAACACGACCCCATAATTCACGCACAATGCCGTTCGAATTCTTCACACAACTATTTTATTTGTTACTTTTGGCATCCAAATTCAAACATTCCTCTATTGATATTTGCTTTTTCAACAGCATTTTTTTTCTCTCTTTATGACAAATTCAGCATTAAATCATCTTATAAACACATCATAAAATTCTTTACAGTTATTTATGAGTTGTTTCTAAATTTCGTTTCTATTTGTTAATTTTAACAAAACAGATTCTCATAATTATATAATCAATACTAATTGTTAATTATAATTTATAATCAATATTTCAGAGACATTAACATTTGTTAATTTTTGGCATTTTTAATTATTTTTTAAATTATATAACTTTATAAAGATCATCAAAATTACAGTAAAGTTTATTTTTTTATATAGAAATTATTTGGATTTTCTTTGAGAAATTAAAAATTCATTACTAGTTCATGTTTCATTAATTTTCAATTTTTTAAACTATTACTTCATAATTTCTTCTAGACTAAATTGAAAAATACGTAATTTTATTGAAAATATAAAAAAAATAACTAAACAACTTCCAGTTAATAAATTTTCTTTGAATTTTTAGAATTCAATGTAATTCTAAAAATAATCTTTTTTTTTGTCTACTTTTTTTTCTTTATTCAGGACATAATAAGTCGTCCACTTGGTTTCATCATTATCCGTTCCACTTGTTACGAGTGGAAAGTCGAAGAAAAAAAAAATAACAAAGAAATTCTCTCCTTCTAAATTAAGAAGAAAAGAAAAGCACAAGGAGAGAAAGATATTTATATATATAAAAAAAGAGAACGGTGTGATGAAGTTTTATTAAACTATTTTTTTATTTTATGTCGGCTTTGCATTTTCTTTCTTATTCCGGCTGGATGTTGAAGTAAAGCCGTTCGCGCTCCCCCGAGCCGCGTAATGCAGAATTTTCGGTAGGAGTTTTCATTTTTTTTTTGAGAACGGGATGAGGAACAGAAGAAGGAAGATGCTTAAAGTGCGCGCAAGGGGGAGAGTTGGTTCCAACCTTTGCAGGTTTTTGAATGGTGCTTAGTTTGCATATTTCATGAAACCCAGAGAAAAAAAACGAGTGTAGTAATAATAATAATAATAATAATTTCGGGCGCATCGTTTTAAGAAGCTCGTAACTTCCAACGAGCGCCACCAAATTTAATTCCCCCCTAAGAATTAATAATAATAATAATGGAATGTGTTTTTTTTTGCGTTGTAAGCGAAAGTTTCATTTAAAATTTCCTCAAGTTTGAGTCTTCTTTTTTTTTGTTTGGATGAATATTGTGATCTTGGCTTCTGCAAAGTTGTGATTTGATTGTTTCTTGTTTCAGGTGTGGATTTTTGGACAAGTTTGGTGCAAGATCTGGTTGGCTCTGGACGTCTGGATGTGTACAGCTTCTATATTGAATTTGTGCGCCATCTCTTTGGACAGATATGTAGCTGTTACTCGTCCGATAAACTATCCGAGCATCATGTCGCATAAGAGGGCGAAATCGTTGATAGCGGGGCTCTGGGTGCTCAGCTTCGTCATCTGTTTTCCGCCGCTTGTCGGATGGAACAACTCGGTAAGAAAATTGAATACATTGTCAAAGAAATGAAACTTTTACGCTTAATATTGTGTTTGCGGACGAGCGGCGGATATATCCGCTTTATCCACATTTGTCTTGTCGTAGTCATTGTTCACTAGTTGTTTTTCAAATGATGCCGTAAACGCTTTGACCACAACATAATAAAGTAAAATATACAATTTGATATATATGATATTAAATTTAACATTAAAGTATAGTTTCGAACTGAATTACGTTTTATATGTTCAGTTTCATCCTCTGTTTACATTGACTTATTATTGAAATTAGTCAAGTGGACTGTGCGAAAGCCAAAAACAATAATAAAAAAAAGTCACTATAATTAGATTAATTCTTACACCAAAATAGTTAACAACTCAAGTTTGCTCAAGGTCATAAAAAAAATAAAAATTTCGAATATAAATTTGGAAAAATAACGCCAAATCTTTGTTAATAATTAATGATTATTAAATTAAAATGAGCTTAACAGAAAACCGATTTAGATATAATTTTAACATTTATGTAAAGTTTTTATGAAAAAAAAAATCTAAAACAAAAACTTAACAACATAATAATTACTGTAATTTGATTCCTTATTACATGAAAACAGTCAACAACTCAAGTTTGTTAATAGATTTGTTAGAAAGGTTATAGTTTAGTCATAAATTTTGCATATTTGATGATTTAATTAGCGTATGCAATTATTGAGTAATTAAACAATACGCGAAGACGTAATAAAGTGAAGAATCACAAAATTATGGAAAATTAACTAAGAATCTGTTAAATATGGCTCAATTATTAATAGATTTAAATTATGTAATTATAAAAGATATAAAGTATTTTATAATTCATGAAAAAAAATTGGAAAATTCAAAATTTGGAACAATAATTAATGATTAAAGAAGCGTAATAGAAAACCGTTTTTGGTATAGTTTCAAAATTTATGTAATGTTTTACAGTTTTCGATATAATCAGTAAAAATTAGAAAAAATATTTGCTTCTTCTAAAAAAATCAAATAGAGCGGATATATCCGCTCTATCCACCTTTATGGTGACGTAGTCATCTTCTTAGTTTACTAGTATTTTTTTCAAGTGGGGTCGTGAAAACTTTGACCACAACATAATAAAAAAAATCACTGTAATTAGGTTCATTCTTACACGAAAATAGTTAACAACTCAACTTTGCTCAAGGTCACAAAAAAATTAAAAATTTCTAAAATTAATTTGGAAAAATAACGCCAAACCTTTGTTAATAATTAATGATTATTAAATTAAAAGGAGCTTAACAGAAAACCAATTTCGGTATAATTACAACATTTATGTAAACTTTTTGAAAACCAAAAAATTCTAAAAACATGAACACAACATAAGAAAATAACTAATTAACTAATTTGATTCCTTATTACAAGAAAACAGTCAAGAACTCAAGTTTGTTAATAAATTCGTTAGAAAGGTCATAGTTTAGTCATAAATTTTGCATATTTGATGATTTAATTAGCATATGCAATTATTGAGTAATTAAACAAAACGCGAAGACGTAATAAAGTGAAAAATCTCCAAATAATGGAAAATTAATTGAGAATCTGTTAAATCTCGCTCAAGAATTAATAAATTTAAATTATGTAACGACAAAAGATATAAAATTCATAATTTTGAAAAATAATTAATGATTATTATAAAAAAAGAAGCGTAATAGAACATCGATTTTGGTATAGTTACAAAATTTATGTAATGTTGTACAGTTTTCGATTTAATTAGTAAAATTTAGAAAAAAATATTTGTTTTTTCTAAAAAAAAAATAAACATGAACTATTCATAAATAAATTGAAGTAATTAAATAAAACTCATTAATTGTAATGATTATATGAAATTATATAATTTATAAAAGAAATGTGTTTGAATTAGAAATATGAAATGAATGCAATTTCTGTTATTTCATAACCATACAAGATGATGATTGTTAGTGTAAGTTCATAAGGATCTTGTAAACTTTTCCACGCTATCTCGAACATTATACAACTCCACTCGAACATCTTATTCATACTTTAACTATTATTATATTCTTCGTTATTATAATTTCTCCGTTTCCTTCGTAAAATATTTCTTATTCGTGCTACAAATATGTATTTTCCTCAATTTTATTACATTTATTTTACTTAATATTTAAGTTCCCTAACAATATTATAATTGGCTTTCAATTTGGGACAAATCTGAGAAATTTGTAAGATTTGAAGAAATAAAAACTGTAACCAAAATTGGATTAAAAGTAATTATCTTATAAGTAAATTAGCTGGAAACGTGTTAAATATACAATGTGATATTAAATTTAACATTAAACTATAGTTTCGAACTGAATTACGTTTTATCTGCACGGTTTCATCCACTGTTTACGTTGACTTATTATTGAAATTAGTCAAGTGGACTGTGCGAAAGCCAAAAACAAAAGGAGTCTCTCTATATATATATTTGCGTTGAATAAACATAGGAGAACTCAGAAGAGCAATGCATAATGAATTACGTTACGCAACCTTCGGCGCGTTAATAACTCGTGAAGGATCGATAGCTTCAAGTGCATATGCATACATTTTCGATACGGTCCATTAAAATTCCATTCGCATCTGGAAAATGCAATAAGAACATTACAAACTTGTAAATTTTACATCAAATTAATAATCTAGTATATCATAATAAATTCATAGTTTTCCTAACAAAAAAATCTATTCAAAATTAATTGTAATGCAAAATTTAGATTTGAAAATTACATTAATCAATTTTAGAAATATTCATTATTTAATCGATTTTTTTTTTGATCAAAATAAAAATTCACTTACAAATTATTAATTTAGACTTCATATTTATATTTAATAATTTGTGGATGCGCCAGGCAAATGAAACTATTTTATATATTGTTATTTATTCAATATTAATTAAAATATGTATGCAATATGTAATTATGACAAATTGTTAATTACAATTATGCACTTAATTAAAAATTCAAATTATTCATAAAAGTAAAAAGTTTATTAATAATAAAATAAACTTGAAATTATTGATTTAAATTTGTACATGTTTTAAACCCTTTCCAGCCCATTTTTTTTTTCAAATTTTTGTTTTGTTTTATTCAAATCTTTATAAAAGCACTTTTTTAATCATATAAACACATTTTACCTGTTTTTTTATCATTATTCAATATTACCTACTGTTAAAAATACATCTAACTTCAATTTACATTAGTTGCTTCCAACAGTTTTAATCGTCGAAAGACAAAATGGAATTTAAAAATTAATAATTCCATTTGGAATCACAGGGCTGGAAAGGGCTAATAAGTTAATGTAAACTAAAGTAAAGCTTTACTATTAGTTCTCATTAATTATTCATTATACAGATTATCACATTATTTATATAACATGCAATTCGATGTTACGTACACAGTGTTTCCTAGTAATGCGAATTATGCAAATGATTAATGTTTACAAAAGCCAGGAATATATTAACGTGTTTAGAGAACCGCAGCGCTTAATTCATCTTGTTTATATAATTTATACATATAAAAGCTCTTGTTTTCACTTAGTTTATGCAATTTATTTAACTTGAAAATAATTTAATTATTTTCTTAAAAATTAGTATAAAATGTTGTTGAAACTTACAATTTATTTTGTATTTTGGAAACATTGATATTCAATATATTTCATTCAAATCTTCTGAAATATTTTTTGTTTCAAAATATTTATTTAGATTTTCAATTATATATTTTTGTTATTCATTAATTACGTAAAAAATGAGTTTTAACAATAATAAAGCCTAGTTATTACATGTTTACTAATTGAAAAAAATTGACATTTTTTTAAATTAATTAATTAAATTAATTAAATTTTTTTTTTTGGCGTATTTCTTAAGTTTTTCTATATTTATTTCATCTCAATAAAATCAAATTATTAATTTTGATGAAGAGCTATTGGTTTAATCTTAAGAATATTTTCAATTAGAAATTGATGGATTTTCGAATGGAGCTGCGAACGACGAGGATGAGTGTGTTTATTGGTTGGATCGGTGTTATTACAAAGGATAATCGGCAGTTTATGTTTTCGGCGTATTTAATACCAGACGACGAACGACGTCGAAGAAAGAAATTTAATTTCCTGTGCTTCTGCAGCGATTTCTGCGAACGACATCATCTTTGGATCAGTTTTCCCAAGGGAAACACCAGAGACATTGACGAAAACGCCTCATCTTCGCATGTACGCATTGGTAACGAGAAAAAATGCACATCATCATTCAAGAGCGACGTTCAATCTGGACCATTGAAAACGCTGTTAAGTGAGAGAAATGTGAAAAGGTCAAGAGATGCATTGCATTTGAAATGCATTCAATTATTCCAAAAATACATCAATTTTTAATTGAAAAATTTAAACATTTTGTTTATATAGTAATATTTACAAATTGATTTATTTTTAAAATTTATGTGTAACCTATAAATTTACTATTTACGAACAAATGTTTCGTAACAACTGTCATTAGATTCATAGTAACTGTCAGTGATTTGATAGCAACTATTATTAGATACACAATAACTGTCAGTGACGTAATAGCAACTATCATTAGATTCACAGTAACTTCACAGTAACTGATAACAACTATCATTAGATTCACAGTAACTGTCGGTGATATGATAGCAACCATCTTTGCATTTTTAGTAACCTAGGTTAACTTTAACAATTACTGATATCAATCATGATAAATGATTAGCAACAAATTGAACTCACTTATTATTAGGAACATTACAATTATAATTAATTTATTCATACTATTAATAATGGATCAATAAAATATATAAAACAACAACGAAAAATGCTAAGTTATCTAATAGTAATTAGTATTCATCATTAATTTGTAGTCTATCAATGTCAATGGGAGAGTTGCTGCGACCAGATCGTATCTCTTCGTTCTGCATTGATGAATTTCCCTGTAATGGATGACAAATTACCTCGGACGTTTATGTACATTTTTTTTTTGCTTGTCAATTTTATTTATCATCTGCTCTTCGGAAGAAAAATATTGCGGAAAGAATCAATAA